AATAATATGTTACACTTGATATAAAATCCAAATCAATTGAACAAGCTGACGACATTTTCACGTAGGTGTTTATTTTTCGCCCCTCTTTCCTTCATCCCTTGTTTAACTACTTTACTTGTCAGCAATTCTTTGGACAACCAATAACAAAACAAACACCCTAAGAGAGTGTAAAATAGATAACCAAATTAATTATGAGCTGATAATCGAACCATGCAATAACGACACAATTTTACGTGTTTTCATTATCAGAGAAATAGTTGTATGCACACAGTAGACATATAGATTAACATCCCTGTAAGAAAAAGTAGTTCTTATGAGCTCGTTTGTCACTAGTTGTTTTTTAACACTAGCTTGTTAATATGCCATTTTTTAATACAGTTTTTTTTTTTTTTTTTTTTTTTATCAAGATGTATCAGAAATTTGTATTGTTCTGCCTTGCAAAATGAAATGAAGGAATTAAAATGCTATAATTTTTTCTGGGAGTGGTGTTCTCTGTCTATAAATTTCATATTATACAAACATATATACCACACACAATAAGTCAACTTAGCGAAAAGGCTGCGTAATATGAGAAATTTAATTCAATTTGTATTTACTCTCATTATCTTGTGTGTATTCACATACATAAAAATAAGTGATACTATTTTTTCAATGTTGAGTTCATTATCACCACAACAACAACATATATATGCATGATGAAATATACAATGCTTTAGTTCAATACTCAGATATACTTTAGCCATTAACAGCTCACATCTGCCGTGCTGAAGCTCACGTTGCCACACTTTATCAGGTAATTTCGTCGCGTTTAAGCGTTTATTCACCACAATTATGTGTAAATTTTTTTTGTGCATCATAAAAACAATTAAGTTAAATAAAATAAAAAAAATAAAATAAAATGGAAAAACAGAGTAGAATTTAATATGTAAAGTAATATAATGAAAAAAATTAAATAAAAAATTATACTAAATAAAGGTAAATAAATTAAAAAAAGCAAAAAAAAAGTAATATAAAATAAAATAAGTTAATGTAAATATTTTTTGTTCAAAAATTTAAATTAAATAAAGTTATATAATACAAAATAAAATAAAAGAAAATTAAAAAAATGGATAGAAAAAAATAAAATTTATAGATAAATTAATATTAAATTAAATTAAAAAAACATAAATTAAAATAAAATAATTAAATAAGAAACGAAGTGAAATAAAAGTAAATTAAATTAAATTAAATTAAATTAACTATTGGGAAACGCAAGTGTGTCACAATTTCAGCACTTGACACACCTAGGCGTATGAGTAATATGCAGACGTATTGTACAAGTTTACAAGCATACATATAGTCATTGTACAAGCAGATTATGTTATTAAGCTTTTCACTAAAAACATCACACGAAATGACAAATGAGCTTAAATTCTGCTAATGCTAAACGAAATGTCATCAATGATCGCTGTTTACTGTCACAGTTGGTTAAAGAGTAGCATATGTCTAAAAAAAAAGTTATTTCTCACAACCATAGTTATAGTATATAAGGCACGTATAAACGTTGTCGTTGGAGTGACACTCAATTGAATTACAACTACATATGCTCCAGCTTAATGCATATTTTATGCCTTAAAAGCTTACATGGGAGCAGTGAAAAATGTCAAAAAATTAATTTTTACAGACATAAGCATGTATGTACACATAGGTACGTAAGTATATATGAAGCTTTGTTTATGAACTGGCATATTGCGGCACCTGGCGGTTGAGGCCGCAAACCACATCTACGATACCTTTTGATCAGCCGCAAAGCAATAAAATTGCTACCTGACCTTTTTGTATGTGGAGGAAAAAATTTATGCAGCATGTGCATGAGCATTTTGTCCATCAGCAGGCCTTGACCTGTAAATGTATTTAAAGTTATTTTCTCTTTAATATATAGCCAGCATACGGCCTGCACGTACACACGTATAGCTATGTGTTTATCTGCATGCTTGCATGTATGTGATGGTGACATGTAGCCGCATTGCAACAGCAGCTTTTAACACAGTAGACTCAACTTTTGAGTATGTTTGGCATTTACACTTGCTTGTTACTGTCGCCGTGGCCAAGTATTTGTTGGACATACTGCAAGATATGGTAGGCTATCATTATGTACACAGGCATGCGCTTATATCAAGGGATATGGTATGTCAAATGGTGAATTACGGGCGCCACCTTCAAAGGATATTCATTTAAACGGTGAAGAGGTCTAATTTACTTTTGATTAAAATTTTTTTGGAACTTATAGAAATTTTTCACACTTTTAAGAACTTTTGAATGACTCAAAAAATACATATGGCACTTAAATTGTGGTATTTCAAAGAAAAAGAAAATTTTCGTTTTAATATTAAAATCAGAAAATTACACAAAGAAAATATATGAGAAATAGGTTTTGGTGTTTCGAACGTTCGTTTACGCAAAGAAAAAAAATTAAATATTTTTCGTTTTTGACTTTTCGAAACTATGATTAAACACACAAAATACACAGGCTTTTTGTTCCTATAGCCTTCTTACTGCCGTGTGTGAGTTTGTCTTAATAAAAATTTAAATTATATATTTAGATGATTTCAAAATAAATAATTTGTAAACAAAAATGATATAAAATATTGAAATTCAATTTTATTTAAGTATTTCAAAGGAATCAAAAATAAAATTTGAGTTTAAATTTGAATTCAAAAATAAAATTAAAATTAAAATTAAAATTAAAATTAAAATTAAAATTAAAATTAAAATTAAAATTAAAATTAAAATTAAAATTAAAATTAAAGTTAAAGTTAAAATTAAAATAAAGTAAAAGTTGACTTTTAATTTAAAACAAAAAATTTAAATAAAATCTGAGATGATTAATCGCAGCAACCATTTGGGAATTCGTAATTTGTAGTTTAGTTAATTTGAAACTAGTTTGAGAAAAGTTCTTACAATCTTATTGAAAATATATAACTACTATTTCAAAACTAATTTAGAAACCGAAAGATTTAGAAAACTAGCTTGGAACTAGTCGGAAACTAGTTTGCCACCATATTAAAAAAATAATTTTGATTTTCAGCTATGTATCATTTACAGACTATTTAGGGTAAAGTAAAAGTTGGGATTACTGTGGTTTTGGTTTCAAATTAATTATTTCGGTTTTTTTCCTTTTTTTGCCCAAAAGGAGAGCATATTCACTTACTTAAATAGTAAATCTTCGTTTCAACAGATAAAAATATCTATATATGCATGCATTTGCTTCAAGCAGCGGCATGTTTCCCATTACAAGCTTGGAATGTTTATTGCTAGTACTTGTTAATGTATTGAGCCAACGGCAAGGAATATTTATGATTAATTTTAAATAGAAGCAGCTTCCTACGCCGCATAATGGCTCTGGACTACATATATTTATATGCAAATAGTTGAGTTACATATTTATGCGCAATTTATTATATAACAACGTATTTAGTATAATATATAATATCAACAATATTTCGCTGGCTCTCCAACCAACAGCAGAAAATATGGTCTGATACCAACCATACCACAAATCATAGATTATAATAATAAGGAATAAAGAATAAAGAAAGAGAAATAACAGAGAGTTCAAGTACGCCAGAGTTATACACATTAAACGGAAAATTTGCAAAGCACGTTGTAGAAGCAGTGTAAATGTATTGGAGGTAGTAAGTAGTAGTGTTGGTGGCGGTTGCAATCTGTTTTCATAATTTACCGCTACCGTTTGCAATTTTTGTAAATGCCCCACAGCTCTACAAACAATTTCATTGGCATGGTATTTATAACTTGTTGCTCGATGCTGGCGACCGACTGAAGCGTGCTTAGTTGCAAACACAGGCATACACGCACACACTCACACAACCATACAGCAGTTGCTACGATGGCCTGACTGGCTTTGTAACTGAGCAGCACCGCATGACATCAGCATTGACATTGTGCGTGTGTGTGTGTGTGTATAAGTGGGTGAGTGGAACGATGGTGGGTGAGAGAGCTGGATGTTTGGTTCTATTTGACTTTACTTTTGGGTGGTTGGCCGAACAACACAATAAACAACGGCAAAGAAAATATAAGAAAAACAACAACAGCAATAACCATAATATATATATAGTAAGTAATAAACAACAACAAATGTTGTACGATACCACTGAAACACGAAAAACAAACAGTATATAAAGGGCATACATATGTACATACATGCATATATATGGATGTAAATGTGAAGATGTGAGCGGAAAATCAGCACCACCATAAGGTCGACAAAAGCTAACTGTCAACAACAGCTGGCTGACACTCTTGCGTATCTATCGATTTTTCGTTGTTTTTAATAGCGTATAATCATATGTAAACATACAGATGAACATTGATTGGCATATACTAAATTACATATGTAAAGGTAAATAAGTAATCATGTACATATATGTTAGTATATGCTTTTATATAGCTATATATTACCAACAGAAGGACACAGCAACCAACAATATATATGCAACTATGTACTAGCACAAATATATATATATATATATATATAAATACATACATATGTATGCATATAAATAAGCTCATACCCAAAGCTCAATTGCCATATTTGCGTAAAGTTCAAAGCGCAAAATGATTGATGGCACCATTCTGGAGTGCTTAGCGTTTCAATAATACAAATTTACGGAAAATCCATTGGGTATTTTCCACCTTAAAATGGAAATAAAAGCAATTGTTTGGCAAATGAAAAGGCAAAAGTTGGTTTGTGTTTGTGCATGTGGCACCTTTCGAAACGGAAAACAATAATCAACAGTTGTTTAGTCAGACGAAACATTTGTTGGTGGCTTAAATAAGCAAAGAATTGTGCTCAGTTGCGAGTGCACTGAAAATTTGTTCAGGCAACATGTTTTCACAACGTAATATATAAAGTATAACTGGAATAAAAAAATTTAAAAAAAAAATTCAAAAATTTCTGCTATCTTAAAGAAGTGTTAAAAATAAAGTCAATTAGTACTCACATTTCTCCAAACTGGCATTGCAGAATTTCAATGCGTCATCGAGTAAATTCATATGCATAAAGCTGGCTGCGGTCTCGTTGTCCTTCTTCGCCTGCAAATCCGGTCCCCACCATTTCTCGACCAATCGACGCACCAAAACGTCGGGCATGAATTTCATATTTGTCGCTGAGCCACTTATGGCGGCGACAGCACCGCCAGCACCCGATCCCGAGGATGCCATTGTTGTTGTGGCCGTGGCTGTTGTCGAAGCAACAGTTGCGGTTGTTACGGTAGTCGGCGGAGAGGGTGGTGATGGTGTCAGTTGTAAGCGCGCGGGCGCAACAATTTCCCCAAAACTATTACCACTGTCATCGGCGTTGCCGCTGAGGGCATTGTTGCGTGTTTGCAAGCGTCGCAGCAGCAAAGAATTATCATTCGCTGATGACGGTGCATTGCTTGCCATTGCCGGGGCGTTAGTGGAAATGTTAGTGTAAGCAGCTGTTGAGGTTGTTGGATTTTGATTGGTGGCTGCTGATGCGAGTGTAACTCCAGGTGCTCGATCGGCTTGTGGAAGCGCAGCGCTTGTTGATGCGTGCAAGAAGGCATTTACACTTGTCAAAGCGGCCGCTGAAGATGACGTTGTGGCTGTTGTTAAAGTGGTCAGCGTGGAGCTGGACGTAGTTGCATAATTGCGCGGGCTACTCGCCACCTCTGCGCGAAATTCGTCCCGATTATTGCGTGGAAATTTCACATGACAAATGTTGCATTGTGTGATTGTGTCGCAGCAATGCCGACAAAAGGTGTGACCGCAGTTCGTAGTCACCGGACAACGCAGAATATCATTGCAGAGCGGACAGAGCAGTGGATCGTAGTCCTCGCTCTGCGTCGGGCTCGGCACCCGTAATAGTTCTCGTGTAGGCGAATGCATATCCGAAAGCCCAGCACCAACGACTGCATCCGGCACCGGCGGTGTGGTCGCCGTAATACCGCATGGCAGAACGCCTGAAGCGCCGGCACTCCAGCTGGCGGCGCCGCTACGTGCATACTTCACTTTCAGTGCCGTTTCGAGTGCATTGCTGTCAGAGAGCTTAGCCCCGCTACCGGTTGCCGGAGCGGTAAACAGTTCTGGACTGCTGCCACCCATCTTGCGCACATACGTAATCAGCGCGCTCGCGAATGTATTGAGACGATCCAGCGGTATGCAGTTATCCAACTGCTCGCTGGCTATAAATGCGTATACATCGAATGCCTCGAGAAGGCTGCCGTAGCGCGTCAAAGATTCGGCTAACAAATAGTAGAATTGCAAGTTGCTGCTGTGCGTAAAATCAGCTGATGACGCGCGTGTGGGTGACGCGTAGCGACTATTCGCGTTGGACAGTGGCGCTGCGGCGCTCAACGCCGTTGTAGACATGGACTTGTAAGCGCTGCCAAGCTTATTGTTGCCACCTCGCAAGTACTTGCTATTGTTGCTATGGCGCGTATGTAGATGCTGTTGTGGCGTGAGGCGTGCGAAATGCTCTGCCGCGGCCGATTTGCTACGTTTCGCCGCCTCGACTTGGCGTGGTAATGCGGGTTTGGTGGCTGTGCGCTTTACTGCCCCACCAGGGCATATTTTGGCTGCGAGGCCTTGGGAAAGTGGCATTTTGTTAATGGAGCAGCTGTTGTTGCTGTGAATTTTAGAAAAAAATGTGTTGTTTTTGTTGTAGACTTCTCTGCCAATGCAGTTCTTTTCTTCGTTCACTCTGGCGACCTGCTCTCGGTCACGTATGCTAGACGTTAGCCCGTCGCTGCCGTTTGGGTCGTTAGCCTGCGCGCAATGAGACGTCGCAACAACAACGTCGGCGTCGTTCTTGACGTTTTTAGCGCTGAAAATAAATTTAGCTGGCGTCACTAAACAGCTGCCGTTATTCTTATATAAATAATCAAAATGTTGTTGTAGCTGCTGTTGCTTTTGTTGGTGCTGCTGCTGTTGCAGGCAAATTTCAGTGAGCGTTAGTTGTTTGATTAAAGCGTCGCCAATTGTTGTTGTATTGATTTTATGTAACACCTTGTTGTATTTGTTATTGTTTAGAAATTTTATTTGATTTTTATAGAAAATTTGGTTTGTATTTTTCACTTTGCTGATGCTGTTGTTGTTTTGTTTGCTTTTGTTGTTGTGTTTTCGTTTCTTTTTGATTTGATATTGCTCAGTGGCACTTTTTGACATTATTTGTCGCTTATTCACCGAAATTTTTTTTTTTGCTTGTTGTTATTTTTTTCTCACTTTTTTGTGTACACTATTCTTTCGCTTTGTTGTTGCACATTAATTTTTTTTTTTTTTGATTTCTCACATTTGCTAAATTTTAAAAAGAATTTTTTTTTTGATTTTTTAATATTTTTACTTGCTTCTCGCAGCTTGTTTTCCCCACCTTTGCTGCACGCTGTAGGGAAAAAGAGAAAAGGGAATATTACTTTTAAGTATTTTTAAAAATGTTTAAAGGAATTAATTTCAATTTTTAAGTTTTGATTGGCAAATGGCGCGACTGTCTGATTGTTTGATTGGTGGGCTTGCAAAGCGTTGTTATTATTTCGCTATTTCCACATAAATTTCATAAATCCGAAATATATAAATAAATATATATACATAAATATTAATAAAAATATCATTAAAATTGGCAAAGAACGTTATCAAAATTTTGGTTTGTAATTAAAATAAAAATATAAAATATTTAAAAACTTTTTTAAAATAAAAAAGATTTCAGAACCTATAAGACATAGAAAACAATACATGAAAATAAATTAATACAAATATTTTCGTATAATTGTTTTTGTTTAATGTAGACTTACGTACATTTACATTAAATTATATAAAAAATTTTTTCGTTTTTCAAAAATTTTAAATTATTTAAATTATTTGAGAATTATTCAGTTCGTTTGTTTTTTGCACGTTAAAAGTATTTTCAATCTAATCCATTTTTTCTTTAGTTTAAAATACCCCATTTCTGTTTTATTATTACTTTTACTATTCTTATATTCTTTTATTCTATCCTATTTTTTATTTTATTTTATTTTATTTTATTTTATTTTATTTTATTTTATTTTATTTTATTTTATTTTATTTTATTTTATTTTATTTTATTTTATTTAACTTTATTTTATTTTATTTTATTTATTTGATTATATTGTATTATATTTTATTTTTATTTATTTAAATTTATTCATATCTATTTTATTGTTTCAGTGTAATGTGTCGTATTCTATTTTATTTATTTTTTTACAATATAATATTTAATATTTATTTTGTTTCGCTTTATTTTCTTTTATTTTAATTTATATTAATTTGTTTAATTTCATATTATTTTATTTTGGTTTGCTTTTAGTTAAAATTTTTTACTTAAATTTATTAAGTTTTTAATTTTATTTAAATTTTTATTATTTTATTTACGTTACTTAATTTTATATAAAATGCATGTATGATTAATTTACGTATATGCATATATGTATATCACAGAATTTTTGGAATTTTGAAAATAAGTTCCTAGCTCCCTTCAGTTACAAAATCTTCGGTTCTGATAGCTTTTATATCATATTTGGGTTTTCGATAATTTTCGCCCAATTTGCGTATTTTCTCATAATAATTACCTAAACAGTTGTTATCAAACTCGTCACACATGTACAATCATTAGATTATGCGGGGCAAAACCAATTTTCAACACAAATATCCTTAGCACTGATTTTACGTAATAATTTTATAACATTTCACTTGTGTAATAATTTTCTCAATTGACATTTTTCATCGTTAACGGAACGCGATTGCACGGCACGCACACATGTGTGTTGTTACTATTTCAATTGTTAGTTTGTATTCCGGTTTGCTGTTTTTGCAGCAATTTAAATTGAATGTAAATAGATAAATAAATAAATATTTCTTCTTCAATTAATTTCGGCCAATTTTTTCCAGCTGCTGGAGTTAAATGCGTCCGCTTCCGACGACTTCAGCGTCGTTTGTGAACTCTGAAATGTTTGGAGAAGAAGAATTTACGTAACGTTTGAAAAAAAATGTTGTTTCAATTTGTTGGTTGAGTTTGCTTTTAGGTGCTACTACAAATACAACCATAATTACAACTGCTCAAATTTACAAACACATTTGCGGATATATAAGAATTTCAATTGGTATTAGTGAATTTTGTGTACGTGTGAGAGTGCACGTGTGCACGCAAAAGAGCACGGAAGAGCGCCTAAAATGTCGCCTTGTGAAGAGTACTCAAAGCGAAATTCAAACAAAATCAAAAACAAAAGGAAAATACAAATGGATAAACAAAAATAAAGCCAATGAAGAAGCAAAAGCAGCGAGTCTCTTAAATACTTTTATATACCATACACGTATGTATATTGGCCTGCTTAAGCGGAGAGTATATGCATTTACATTACGAGAGTGCCACGCGGTTTCTCAATGAAGCACCAACACATAACAAAAAAAAGAAATAAAATGCCGTTATGAAATGGAATACAACATTCTCCCATATCGGCCGCCAAAGCCATTGCGCGTACTCATTTTCCAGCAACACGCTGTCTCAAACACACACACATACATTCGCACATACTCAGACGCACATGGATTCAAATTGCTGGCTTGTCAAAGTGAATTTAAAAATTCTCTTTAACATTTCGCTTTTGAACTTACTTAATACGGCACTAATTGCTTACGTGCAACCGCATATAATCTTGCCCATTTCTCGCAAATCTTCCACACTCATACACATATGCACGCACTCACACACGCACACAGGGCATGTTTCAATGGCATGCGGCATTGCTTCAAGTAAATTAAATAATTAGCAAACGGCGTTTTTAGTTGCGTTGGCGACGACTTTACGACTTAAGTTCATGTGGTGCCAGATTCCAATTTAGTAACTAAATCAACAGGCATAAAATAACAACAACAATGCGCACATCTATTATTATAAATTTATTTATACATCAATTTATTTTCATTAGTCGCTTAAGTGCATTAAATTAAGTCCAAAACGGAAAAATGCTGAGAGAGAGTTCTTAAATACGAAAATGAATATGAGTATGAATATCGATGAGAACTGCGAATATGAATATGAATGTATATAAATATGAATATGAGTGAATACGAATATAAATGAGTATGAGTATGAATAGATGTGAAATGAATGGATATGTGTATGAATATGAAAATGAATTTAAGTATGAAAACGAATATTAATATGGATGAATCTGAATATGATTGAAACTGGATATGAATGAATTCGAATATGATTATGAACTGAAATAGGAATATGCACATGAAAATAAGTAAAAATATGAATATGATTAAAAATAAGAATATTTATATGAACAAATATGAAATTTAATGCGAGTATGAGTGAATATGAATATGAATGGATATGAACAAGAATATGAGTGAATAGGAAAATAAGTATAAATAAAAATCTGATTAGAAAAAGAAAATTAATATGTACAAAAATACGAATAAGAATATTTATGAATAGGAATAAGAATATGAGAGAATATGGATATGAATATGAATGAATATGAGTGAATATAAATATGAATGAATATGAAAAGGAATGAATATGAATTTGAAAGAATATGAATGTGAAGGAATAAGAATATTTCTGAATATGAATAAAAATATGAATGAATACGATATGAATGAATATGAATACGAGTGAATAAGGACATGAATATGAATATGATTGAATATGAATATGATTGAATATAAATATGAATAAATATGTATATGAATATGAACATAAATATGAATCTGAAAGAATATGAATAAGAGTGATAATAAACAGGAATGAATATGACGATAATGAATATGAATACGAGTGAATATGAGTATGATTGAATATGAATATAGGTATGAATGAATATGAGTGAATATAAATATGAATGAGAATGAATTAGTAGTTGAATATGAGTGAATATGAATATAGGTGTGAATGAATATGAGTGAATATGAATATGAATACGAGTGAATATGAATACGGACTAATATGTAGTTGAATCGGTAAGAATATGATGGAATATGAATATGATTGAATATAAATATAAGTGAATATAAATATGAACGAATATGAATACGAATGAATATGAATATTAGTGAACATGATTATCAATAAGAATTTCGAGAAAAATTAGTAAATAATCGCATGAAATATAAATATGCAGACAATTATGAATTTTAAAAAAATGTAAAAAAAATTGTCAATTTTAATTCTTTTAGTAGTAATTTATTTCATGAATCACATTCATTCACTAGGAAAATAACATTTAATTAACAATTTGTATGTAATTATTTCAATACATTTTGTTATTGCTTATCAAAACTGCAAGAAGTTATCGCAAGTCATCGGACAAAGCGGATATGTGCACATACACACATACATACATACAGACATTCATATACATATATACAAATCATCAATGATGCATCGCCGTGAATATAAAAAATAATACACAAATTGGTGGCTAATAAAAAATATATATACATATGTATATAGTCCGAAAATAGACTTTTAGAGAAGTTTTTTGTCGTGCTCAGACATATAAAATTGTGCCTACGTGTACACATATACATACATATATGTATATGCATACACTTATGCTTTGGGAGAATGTTTAAGTAAAGCCAAATTCGTGAAATAGAATTTCGACTTGAACATATGGACATATGTATATACATAAATATATATATGCACACAATTCTAAAAAAAGGCACATAAGCGATTTTTTTCATACATATTTATGCATATATTCGTATTATATAACATCAGAGTATACAAAATAAATATGAAATTTTAAAAAGTGTTTTGGGGTTTTCATTTTTTTTTTTTTGTTTTTTGTTGCTTAGAACACCAAGTTTCATCAAACAAAACGTTTCATTTAACAAACAACAACAAAGAAAAAATAATAATTTAACAAAATCACTTATGCGAGTGGCAATAAAACGCACATCAACAACATAACAACGAGCGATTGCTCAGCAAATTACTACATTTAACAACAAAATTCACACCAACAAGAAACACAAGGTAAACCCACTAAAAGCCAAGCTAACAAGCGCCAAGAGAAAATCAAGAACAAAACAATGTGAGTTGTGAGCAATTTACACTGCAATTTTGTTTCTTATTCAATGCTATTGCCACATATGTATGTATGAGTCTTGCTCTTCTTTTTCCTTCTCTCTTTCGTTTATTCTTTTTTGCTTTGCGTTGATTATTTGACTCTTGAGAGATTGTTGTGTTTTCATTTATCACCTTCTCGCTGTTGTTATTATTATTATTATTGTTATTGTTGTTGTCGGTCTTGCTTTTATTTCTGTTTATTGTATTTCGTTCATTCTCTAGCTTTCTTCTATTGTTATGTAAACAAAAAGTTTTTGCCGGGCGTCAAATACCAACATACATACATACACGCATGAGCTGACATACATACATACCTACTCACTCGTAAATAGTATTATATTTGATGAAAGACTGACAGCATACACGCAGCTAATACAAATAGCTTAAGTAGTCATCGGACGGTTGTATATTTGCGAGGAAACTGCGTGAAAATTCTATTAGCTGTACATATCTAACTATATATATATAAATATTATAAACATACATTATTTACATACATAGTACATGTATTTATGATCATACATCAAGCTGTCCGTCATTGCTTTAGATATTGAATATCGCATATGGGAAATGAAAATGATTTAAAATGAAAAAAATTCAAATTAAATTTTTCAATTTAGATTTTTGCAATTCGTAATTTTTCAAAGAGAAGTAAAGGATTTAGTGATATAATATTATATTTATATAAACATATGTATAAAAAAATGTTTATTTTTACTTTTTTTCCGATAATTTTTTTATTCGCAATAAGTATACTCTAGACCTCGGTTCGGACTCGCCTTTCTATAAATTCATTTTGGACGTCAAGGCCGCCATTTTCATTAATTATACAGTACTCATGCATAAATAAGAATGCTCGAGGAATTCGAAATTAAAAATATTATATTTGGTGTAAAAGAATTAAACACTAAGCATCTGGGAATATTTTTCTGAGAGCACAATTTTTTCGCACATTTGATTTTGATGTCTATAATAACAATACAATTGAGCAGAAAAAATTTCAGTTCCAAATAGCAGGGACCTAGCGTACCATCTGATTATGAAAACGCTAAAATTTCGAACAATTTTTTTTTTTCAAAAAACATCTTAAAAAAAAAAATATGAAATATTTTCAAATAATAAACAAAATACATTATAGTAAGTCGATTTCAATTTTTTTTTTATGAAAGTACTCCAGCATTGAAGGTATTCGATGCAGTATTCGCTGGTTGAAGCAGATGAAGACCTCCACTCCGTTGAAAGGATCAGGTGGAGAGTGGTCTGGCTGCAATTGCTAGTTCCAACTGGCGGCAGATAGCGAAAAGAAGGAAGGAATGGCTAATATTGCTTCGGCTATAATCGCGTAAGCGGTGCCAATGCCAATTAGGAAGAAGAAGCAGATTTCAAAAAAATTTTTAATATTTTAATTTAGATAAACGTAAAATATTTGTAAAATTTAATTCGACTCTAAAACCAGCAAAAATATATTACCGAACTGAAAAATTTTTTATTTACATTTGTTTTTATGTTTCCACACTTTTCTGGTTTAGAAATATCTTTTAGCCACATTTTATGTTTAAACAGATATTACGTTTACAAATTTTTTATATTTAGAAAAATTGTGTGTTCAGGAATATTTTAAGTTTAAGTTCCAAAAATATGTCATGTTTAGACATATTTAATATTAAAGCAAATTTTAAATTGAGACACTTTTTCTGTTTAGTCGCACTTTTTGTAAAAGGACATTTTATGTTTACATATTTTAGATACAGAAATATTTTTTCTTTAGACACATTTTTTGTTTAAACAGATTTGGCATTTAGAAACATTTTAATTATCGAAATATATAATTTTCACAAATATATTATGTTTGGTCGTATATTTTGTGCTTTTTCTGTTTCTGGTTTTTCTTTTTTTTGTTAAAAAATATTTTATGTCTAGTAATATTTTATGTTGAGAAATATTTTATGTTCAGTAATATTTTATATTTGTACAATTTTTTTGCCTGAAAATGCTTTATATTGCGATATACTTAATGTTTAAGCACATTTTATGTTAAGACATTTTTTTGGATTGGTAGCATTTTTTGTTAAGAATTATTTTGTGTTTACACACATTTTAAGTTTAGAACAAGTCTTTTGCGTAAACAGATTTTATGGTAAGAAATATGTTTACACTTATTTAATGTGTGGATTTTATGCTTAGATATTTTTTTATAAAAATATTTCATTTGTGCGGTTGCAGTCGTTAGTGCAGTGGTTAACGGTGCGTGCTTTTCTAGCCGAAAGTCAAGTGTTCGTATTTTGACCGTTATAAAAATTATTGTGAAACTTTTAAATTTTTTGTTTTTGTGTTTTCATAATTAAAAACGGAATATCGAAAAACAATCAAGCAAATATTTGCAAAAATATTTTAATTTGTTTTTAATAAATAAAATTTTTTAGATATAAGAAAAAAAAATTGTTTTTAATTTTCTTAAATATTCCCATACAGTCGAGAAAAATTTTGGAAAATTTTTGTAACACAATTTTATTAAAAATAAGCATTATGGTTTCCTCGAAAAACTTTCGTTCCTTAGAAATTCTTTCTTTTGAAAAATAAATATCAATTCGTAATAATAAAAGCAGAATAACTTTCACATTGAAGTATTACTAAAATATTTTTTTTAAATGTGAAGTGCGTTAGTAATTTTCGGAAACAAGTTTTTCGAAAATAAAACTATATTTTTTTCTGTTTGTAAATAACTGAAATTATTTTAAATTTCGCTTAGTATTTTTTTTTTCCTTTTTCTAAAACAAAGCTAAATAATGTGTTCTACTTGGGCTCACTGACATTACTGCTCCTATCTGAGAACATCACCCGAATCATGGCGCGATGCACGTAAAATTCTGAGAAATATTTCATGCTTTTATCACATAACAAATGCATTCGGGTAGATATGAATACG